ATCGAGGCAGCGCTACAACAATGCTTTGCCTGCGTCGTTGAATTAATTGCCTAATTATCGAACGGGTCTCTCCGCGTGCAAGAAAAGCCGGAGCCATCTGTTCCGTCTGATGGACTGCAAGAAAATTTTCGTTTTACCAGGCAATTTCGAATAAACAAGCTGATATTGGTGAGAAAAAAGAGACACTGCTATATATTAGGTTAGAATGTTGAATAAATGATCAGTATCTGAAATAAAACATTCGCTGTTGTGACAATTCAGCAAACACAATTTTTTTTCAATATTTTTGCACACCCCTGACTTTGGCGCCCATGTCGAGTGCCCTATTTGCTCCGCCCTAGTTACGCCCCTTGACTATCAGGCAAATTAGAAATGCCAATTAGTGTTTTTAATATTGAAGTTTATCTCCGAGCTTGTTGGAACATTTGAAACGCGTTCACTTTGAGTCTTGATTGATTTTACAGTCTCGCTATATTTCTTCCTCCGACTATACCTTTATACAGGGTGAGCCAAGTCACTTGTCCATTCAGAATAACTTCTGAAGTACACGCATGCTCTCCGAAAAATGTTTTATACTGAAATTACGTGGTATCGAAGGAAATGTGTGATGCTGGAACGATTTTTTTTTAAATAATCAGTTTGTTTACGAGATATGGTGATCTTGAATTTTTTTAAATGGAATGCGTACCCTGTTTATCCAAATTTTAAAGTGTAGTGAATTTTTTGTAAGAAAGTAGTAAGCTCTATTTGTTCCAAACCTGTCCAATTTTGTGTATAACTGGACAAGCACACCTCATTTTGAAATATTACTTCTTATTACCTTTTCGTGTGACATATTTATTATTCTGTATTTAATATGTTCTTTTTCCTTGACATTGTCAATAATGTGTATTAAATTCTTTCTCTCCTTCTCGAAAAATAGAAATTTATTTTACAATTTTATGTTTACCTGTTGCAAAAACATTTTCGTAATAGAAGCTGTAGAATCAGTTTTTCAAATGGACAAGTGGTTGTTTATTTACTTCTGAAATTGTCGAGTTACTTGTTAAATTCAGTTCCGAGAAGTGGCTCGTAAGAAATGGCGTACTCTGCCGACCACCATTGAAACTAAATACTTTAAGGTTCGATATCGGAACCTGTACGCGTCGGTATCACAGGTAATTTCCATTTTGTGTTAAATAAATGAATTTATAAGCGAATTTATTACATATTGTAGTATTAAGTTTCGTATCATCGTCAGTTCAGTTGTATGAATTTTCTGTTACCTTCTGTTTCATTTTTAACTTTACTTCAATTGTATACAATTCGTGCAACATTGTGAGCTGTATTTAATTTATTATTAATTTCCATTATGTCTGTGGTGATAACATTTGCAAAATTTGTTATAATTAAAAATTTTAAATATTCGTTAAA